ATCTCTACTCTCCTTGTTGGCCCTGAGGGGTTTATCTATTCTGGATTCCCGGTATTGCGGGCTCTTATCTGTAGCAGTGTGCATGCTCTGGTCTAATCCGATTTGTAAGGTAGAATTAAGGTCATGAAAGTGGGCTGAAGGAAGCACCAAAGAACTAGAGGAAAGTTGTGTGTTTCATCGGTGCTATACTGCACCCTGACTGGCTCATCTCTTCCCTGTGACCTCTCTGTGAGGGGATGTCCAATTGTCTGCAGATGGGCATTGGGTCTTCACTCCATGCCTCCGCCCCACCCCCAGATTCACCTTGGGTATGGTTTTATTCTGGGTCTTAGATGCCTGATACCTGATTACTCGACACCTCATGATCACACAGGCTGGTGTGCTTCTTTCAAACATTATGCTTTTTAAGATCTAGAGGAGATCATGAGTCCTTATGGTGCAGTGGTGAGACCATCTGGCAACTAACCAAAGGGTCAGTAGTCCAACCACCAAGCCACCCTGAGTGAATGACGTGGCAGTCTGTTTCTGTAAAGATTTCCTACTTTGGAAACACGATGGGCAGTTCTACTCTGTCCTTTGGGCTCACTGTGAGTGGGAGTCAACTTGATGGCAGTAGGTTTTGGATATGGGCTCAAACTGGCAATGACTCCCACGAGATGAGCTAGAAGCCTTATTGGGCAGTGACCTTCTGTGAATGAAGGAAGATGTGAATGGCTGTCCAACTCAAAGACTGTCACTAAGGCGTACGTGCAGAAACTGCTCAACTGGTGACTGCGAGGTGGACATTATCAATAACAAAATTAAACTATTCAGAAAAAAAGGTAACTAAAACCAAAGCAAAGTCCCTTCCTGTTCAATTTTTAAAATTATATATATCTCTCTAGCAACGGCTGTACTGAAGGGAAGTGCCACAGTATTACCTTGGGGGGGCGGGCAGAGGCAGCATAACTTAGGGAGCTGTGATGGACAAAGAGGCTTCAAAGGTTCAGGGGGAGGATTCCATTATCTTTTCATTCCATTTGCCACAGTTTTTGAGCCTACCCCTCGCCCCCACCCCACCCGCTGCCACCGCATGTGCCTTTGTCCCAGAAACAAAAATACTTCCCTCCCAGGGAGAAAGTCATTCATGGGGGTTCAAGGATAAAACAGACCTAACCAAGCAGGTGCCAGAGCAGCAGAATTAGCCATCAGCTCAGAATGTTTCCTAATTCAATTACCAGCCCTATTTATCAGGGCAAGGAAGAGCTCTGCTGTAGATTTAAATCAGCTCTGCTGACGTCAACGGAAGACCTGGCATCTCCAGTTCAGCAGGCACAAATGAAAGTGCTCAGTCAATGTTCCATTTTACAGAGCAAGCACTCTAGGATGCAAGGCTTGTTTTATTTTTATCGGTCTGTTTGTCCATCCATCCATCCAAACATTAGAATC